CCAGTAAACATATGAAAAGATGCTCAAAATCATTCCAGATTAAAAAAATGCAAATTAGTAAAACACGGAAATATGATTGTTGTTTTCACTGATGAGATCTTCAAAAATAAAAGTTAGAAATAATAAAAGTTTGATGACATCAGTTCTGGTGGAAGTACAAGAAAATACCCATGTTCACACACTGCTGATGAGAGGATAAGAGAGCAACATTTCTGGAGAATGATTTGGCAATCTGCATCTAATTTTTAAAGTTTATTTATTTATTTACGAGAAATGGGAGGGAAGGAAAGAGATATCAATTTGTTGTTCCACTTATTTATGAATTAATTGGTTGATTCTTGGATGCGCCCTAACTGGATCGAACCTACAACCTTGGCATATCAGGACAAAATTCTTAACCAATTGAGCTACCTAGCTAGGGCTGCACCTAATTTTTAAATGACCATGTCCCTTGACCTAGCAATTACATTGCAAGTACACCCTTCAGGTATGTTCAAAAAGTAATCCCAGACACATTTACACAAAGCAGATCTTTGACAGCATTGTTCATAAAAACAAAAAACTGAAAACAATATAAGTGTTTAATAGGGGACGGGCTAAATAAATTATGGAGATCCATTTATTTTTTTTTTTTTTTTTTTTAAATATATTTTATTGATTTTTTTACAGAGAGGAAGGGAGAGAGATAGAGAGCTAGAAACATCGATGAGAGAGAAACATCGATCAGCTGCCTCCCGCACATCTCCCACTGGGGATGTGCCCGCAACCCAAGTACATGCCCTTGACCGGAATCGAACCTGGGACCCTTCAGTCCGCAGGCCGACGCTCTATCCACTGAGCCAAACCGGTTTCGGCTATGGAGATCCATTTAAAGGAATATCACACAATCCCTTTTATGCCAAAAAAATTTTTTTTAAGGATACCTACATGTGATGACAGATGCAGACTTTTTTCCTCCACAGATACACAAGAAACTATTAAAATGACTATTTCTGGGGATAAGAGAAATAGGTGTTTTGTTTTTTATTTTATAGCTTTAGATACTGTTTGAATTTTCTAATGTGTGTGTATTGCTTTCGTTTATAGGTAGGTGAGAGGCTTGCAGGCCATTTATTTTCTTGTTCATATTTTTCTGAATTTCCTCTCTCATAACCATTCTAAAAATGAATATTTTTTAATCCTACCTATTTTCAAGGCTCCACATTACCTAGAACTGATCATAGGCATTAGAAAGCATATGCAGATACACTTAGCACTATATTGCATCTCCATTTTTTACCTGCTCTCTCAGATCACAACTGCCCCAGCACAATAGGTTGCATCCACTAAGCCTTTGTAAACCTCACTGGGTTTAGTGGCTGGTTGGTATGTAGTAAGCATTCAGATAAATATCCACTGAATGAACAATAAATGGTGATGCCAATATTAATAAAATGATTCCTTTTCTCCTTTAGTCCTACGCCAGTGATGGCGAACCTTTTAAGCTCGGCGTGTCAGCATCTTGAAAAACCCTAACTTAACTCTGGTGCCGTGTCACATATAGAAATTTTTTGATATTTGCAACCGTAGTAAAACAAAGATGTATATTTTTGATATTTATTTTATATATTTAAATGCCATTTAACAAAGAAAAATCAACCAAAAAAAAGAGTTCGCGTGTCACCTCTGACACGTGTGTCATAGGTTCGCCATCACTGTCCTAGGCCATGGACTTCAAAATAAATTCAGATAATAGAGTGGATACTAGAAAATGATCACTCAACAAAAGAAAAAATGGCCCAAAGTTGGTAAGTTGCTTATCAGGAAAAAGCTTTCTGTATTAAAAACAAAGGTAAAGGTGTAGAGTTTGTTTCAAAGTTAGAGAATGTGTCAAGCCCTGATATTAAAGGAAATGGTTTCTATTTTCCATGACTGCCAAGTTGGAGGTGACCTTAGGGATCATATAATCCAGTAGCTTAAAGTTTTGTGGGGGTTTTATTATTTAAGTAAAGTTGACATACAATATTATATTAGCTTCAGGTGGATGCTTAAAGTTTTTTGGATGCAGAATCTATTTTATTTTCTAAGTGGAAGTCTTCCAGAAAACAACTACACATAAATAACAGCTAAGTTACCTAGTTTGGGAGTTCATCTACAAAGCTCTGTTCCAGTGTGTTTATTTCCTCAGGATCTTAAATCACATGTTTGGTCCTGAATTACTGACTCCATCACTTCCCAGCTGCCTGACTTAAAACTGGTCATTTTAGCCTGCCGGATGTGGCTCAGTTGGCTGAGT